TGGCTTCCCCCCATTCCCACCCCTAAGAGGCCCTACATCACCCAGTGGTCTACATGGCCTACCATACGCCCACCACAGTTCCTGGCTGTACTGCTCCCCTAGTGGCCTGAGGCATGGTTCCTTGAAACAAAGGACACATGCCCACTGACTCTTAAGGTTGGCAAGGTGTGCTTTTCTGGATTGTGTGCCATGCTTGTGGCATCTACAGCCAACAGTGCACACTCCAGCAAATCAGGTGCTATGCATCCACTGTTCCCATGGTTGCTGGCCTTCCCACAGGACACACACCACCAATTGCCTGCCACTTCCGGGGTGTGCAACACACACTCCACAAATCAGACACAGCAAGACTGCTACCTCCAGTGAGCAGTACGCACCACCTCCTCCACAGTGACACTACTCCCTTCCTAGGATAAAGTATTGTTAAGTGCCATCAAGTTGGTTCTGATCCATAGCAACCATGCATAGCATTACCGAGGAGCGGCTGGTGAGCCTGAACCACAGACCTTGTGGTTCAAACCGACTTTGCTGTCTAGTGCATTAACCCACAGGGCCACAACTGTGGTGTTCCTTTTGATTTCAAAAAATAATTTTGCAGAGGCCTTTCCCAGGAATGTGGTGGCCTACATTTTAAATTTGCAGTGCATACTTGCACCTGCTATCTCTTCCCCAGCCCCCCCCTTTTCTTTTTCTCCTGTTGTCTCATTTCCTCCCCTTATCTGATGGAAGGCAACAACTATGTCCACAATACCCAGTCACAACTGCCCTCCACCCACTGGATGAGCAACCACCTGCTCCTGCACCATGTGATCAACAACAGGCAGCAGCTAACACCCACTCAGCTCACTTTTCTTTTTACATTACTCTTATTTTTGCCAGGTTAGGCTGCTACAAGACAAAAATACCTTTAAGAGTTTTACAAATTGTTTAGTTGATGGACTCTGTTAAATACTGCCTTAATTCATTCAAATATTTGTTAGCCACAAAGTTAACTAGATTTTGGCACTGAAAATATTTCTTACACTGGTAATCTCTTACTGGCTTTTGAGGTTGGAGGTGATATTTTCTAATGCATGGAGTGATGATTGTTTTATAATCCCTCTGAATTCCTTTTTTTTTAAATAAAGTTTTTATTGTGAATTAACTGATAGTTTACATGGGAGAACATCAACTTTACATTCATCCTATCTTACTTGGTTTCACTGCAATGATTACAATCCCTCCATGCATCACCATTCAACAGTATTTGCTTCTATTCCCTCTGTTGTTTTTTT